TTTTTTATTTTATTTTTTAAAATTATTTAATTAAATAAAAATATTATCATTTCCTATGTTTTACTTCCGTTTATTCAAACAAAATTAATATCAATATTTTTCTTTTGGTTAAAACCCCTTTTTGGTCCCTAAATTATTATACGGACCCCCGATTTGGTCCTTAAACTAAAAAAATCCCTGATTTGGTCCCTACTGTTTACCATTTTTACCCCGTTTTGGTCTTTCCATTAAAATCTCACCGTTATCTCAAACAATTTAATGACATGTCAAACCTTTGAGACACGTCAGTTGTATAAATGAATAAATAATGACAGCAATGTGACATGTCATCTCCTTGCCCAACCCAACAAAAGTGAGACCCACCAAAATTACGAATTTGCCATCATCTTCTTCCTCCAGCAAACAAACCCAGCACCAAACAAAACCAGCACCTGGGTTGAATTGAACCCAACAACGCCCTTTTTTTTTACTTCCTCTTCCTTGCCTTGCTTTCTTCATCATCATCAAACACATCATCATCATCATCATCAAACACCAAAACCACAGAAAAAAAAAATATATTTTTTACCCCTTGGTTCGAGGGAACCTAGGCGCTGGGTTCCAAGGAACCCACGCTTGGGTTCCTAGGCGAACCCACACCTGGGAACCCAGCGCCTGGGTTTCGGGGTGGGTTGGAACCTAGGCGTAACCCTTGGGTTCCTTGGAACCCAACCCGGGCAAGCGTGCTGGGTTCCTTGCGAACCCAGCGCCTGGGTGGGTTCGAAGGAACCCAGGCCTACTGGGTTTCGAGGGGAAAGAGAAGGGAAAGGGGAAGGAGAAAGGGAAAGGGAAAGGGAAAGGAGAAGGAGAAAGAAAAAGAAAAAAGAAAAAAAAAGAAAAAAGAAAAAAATTTAAATTTTATTTTTCATAATATTTTTTTATATTATTATTTTTTCCACATCATCACTTTTTGACTATATTATCTTCCACGTGGATTATTAGATGACATGTCATCGTGTTCCTGTTAGTTAACAGCACACGTCACTAGATTTTTAACAGAAGGACCAAATCGGGGTAAAAATCGTAAACAGTAGGGACCAAATCAGGGATTTTTTTAGTTCAGAAACCAAATCAGGGATCCGTACAATAATTCAGGGACCAAAAAGGGGTTTTAACCTTTTCTTTTCCTTCCTTTCTCTTCTCTCTTTTTCCTTTCTTTTACTAATTTTTATCCAAATAATACTGCCATAGCTATTATTGTTTGGAGGTTGCGCTTGCTGCGCTGGTTGCACCGGCAATAGCACCCATTACCTTGGCTTTTGACCAAGGATCAATCCCTTGTAAAAGCGAAAGTTCCCGTCCACAAATTTCAAATGTTGAAAAAAAAAAAACGGTTCAATAGAATACTTATTTCTATGATTACTTTCTTTTAAATTGGGGGAAGGCAAGAAAAAATATATATTCCTTCATCATCCAGTAATTTGGTAGAAAATAACCAATTTAAAAATATATATATTCATAGATACTTTCTTAAGGTTACATTTGATAATATTTGAGCCTAGCGTTTGCAAGCCCATGGCACCCTTCATCTAATAATTGTATTTTGTAGTCTAATGTAATTTGGATTAAAAAA